AGTCTTTCGCAAACGCACGAAAAAAATGAGCTTCGTGGTCCTCTCCCTGCACAGATGTGCGCCACCATGGACTCCATCCTCTTGGTGACAGCAAAATCCGTCGAAGAGATGGTAGAAAGCGACCGGGCTCACGACGATGAGTATACCGGCTTTGAGAACGTTTCTTCGGGCACTGCTCTCAGCAACACATCACCGGCGCAAACCGAGATCACTGCTATGGATTTGACCATGACAGGAGAGTACTTGCTTGACTATCCGACTAGGCAATCGGCCCCGGATGACGGCTTTCTGATACCGTTTGTTGTATCCACTCCAATTGATGGAAGTCAAGATGTGGAGGGGAAAGAAAGCGAAAGCGGAGACGTCGGCAATGGAAAGCTATCTGGCGGAGAATTGCACGGTTCTGTGTGTCAGGGCGCAACAGTTGACGCTACGCCTCCGAGGCAGACAACGTCGATTGCTTCACCTGTCTCCGCTGTGGATTCAACCCCAACTGCGTTCAGGACTCCTCTCGTGCCAGTATCAAGGTTGGCGACGGATTCGCAAGATCCTCGACCGGACTCACGAGCAACATCCACGGCATCGAACTCTTGCGGCGGCTCGACAGATCAATCTCCAGTGTTGTTCTCAGCGGATGCCGGAACTCATCAGAAATGGTCATCTCCTCTGGCAGCAAAGCAAGGTTCTCTTGTCTCGACTCATGTATCATTGGACGGAGAAGGCTGTTCTGCAGGCTCATCTCTGGAACTGTCGATCTCACCTTCAGACCATCACAACGTCCGCTCATCAACACCATCTCGTACGGTGCCATGCTCAGGAAGCCAAGAGCCTATATCCCAAGAGACTTCAATGGCCTCCCCATCGGAGCGAATACAGACGCAGAGCTCTAATAGCTTGAACTTCACAGCTTCCGTTCAGCCTCCAATCGCTCTCGAAGACAGGATACGCATCAGCTACGAGACTTTCGGCCTCGATGGCGGTCAACTCCAATGGAGCTTTGCACCTCCACCATGCGGGCAGCTCGGCTTCCGCATAAATTTAAGCGCCGTCGCAAAAACAAAAGCTGCCTTGACGAGCTTGAGTTTCAGTCAGCTTTGTCGTAGGAGGGACCAGGTTTTGGCATCAATTCCGATCGCTGGCGGTCCGAACAGGTCTGATATCAATCTCGTTCGCAGGCTTTGCAACGTACAATGGACACCCGACAAGCCGCTTGGCCTTCGAAACATCGTCCTCGAGCTATCAAGGCAGCTCGCGATCAACAGGTGCGACAGAAGTCTAATTCGATTCATGATGTGCTCGGTACTTGCACTGATGAAGGGTACGCACGAAGGAGAGGTGAGACGTCTTCCACATTCCAAAAAATCCTTGGTTTGCTTATTCCGCGCAGTATAAAGTCGCTGTTAAAGCAATCAGCGAACATGAGCTTCGAACGACACTGGCCTACATGAGCTTCCATCACATCCTCAACGGACTTGGTGAGCGATGGAAAGGCAAACACTTGACTGTTCTAGGATTTCTCCGTGCGTCACCGCTTCCCGTTCATATAAGCATATCCGTCTCACTATTCTCAGTCAAGACCTCGACCAATAACCTCAAGGCATGCTTTCAAGCTCCAACGCTACCGGCAACACTGCAGCTGTTTCATCAGAAGTTCGAAGACGCAGACTTTGCCCAGGGTCATCTCCAGGCGATCACCGACCTAATCACATTGTGCGTTCCACAACAGAAGAGAGCCGCTTTTGAGCGATGGACGCCATTGGGCATAATCCAGCATCTCTTACAAGGCGTTGCAGAGTAAGACCGTATGAGCTATCCGCAGGATTTGCAGCTAATATGACGTTGCAGCCCACTGGATGTCGGCGAAGCATTTGGATACGATAGTCATTATCAGGAGAGGGCGAGCCGACAACTGCCTGTTCTAGACAATCGGAGAGGATTGTGGAACCCACAAGGTAGATAACTCAACGCGGAGGAGTGAAATCTGACTGACAATTTTTAGACTTGTTTACCCCACGTCCAATGAGAGTATTTCCGATCACAGATTTCAGCGGCGCTGAAGGCGCTCATCCTCCACGTAACACGGCTGGAAAGCGATCGAGAGACGACACTGGCGGTCCCGAGATCGATGTCGAGAGCCCATCGAAACGACTGAAATTTGTGAATACCGGATTGGACGTCCATATACGTGATGCAGCATCTTCATCTTCAAAGACTTTCAATTGCCAATCACTTGAGCAGATGACAGATCGCAATGGCAAAGAATGGAAACACAACAGTATGGTACCCCTGCAGCCGATCATGTTCCTTGCTGATACACCCATCTTGCTTCAGTCTCTCCCGAAAATCAGGTATGAATCCTCGATATTCAGAACGCGGCCTGTAAGCTAACTTCGAGAATAGAGAAGAAAGAGAAATTCGACGAATTACTCATCAAGTAGAGTTGCTCGGCATCTCAACAAAAGTAGTACAGTTGCTTTGTTATTGTCTCACTCCACTTGGATGCTGATATGGCCACATAGGTCTTGTGGCACCCGCGGATGGGCCAAAACCCGACAGCACAGAGACAGATTTATCGTTCCAGCCATCTCTGTCAGATGTTCACGTCGTACCCGTCAGCACCGATGAGGTCGAATCATCACGCCGCGATTCAGAGCCGACTCCGTCTTCGAGGCTCTCACCGGGGCTTGAGAGTACCTGCGACGTTCCTTCTCCGAAAGACTTGACGTTTGGTCGGCTTTTAACTGCCAAAGTGCAAGCGTTTGTAAGTAGAGCACGCGAGTCTTTGCCATCATCGAGCTAACACCGATAGGCGGCCGAGCTTGAAGCTGAGGGGGAGACTGTATGGACGGAGGACAATGTGCCGTCCGTAGTTGCAGGTGTCTGTGGTGCCTCTTCCGTTTTGCGCCTCCGCCCTGACGAATGGTACAATGACGAGCTCATCAACACGATACCGATCATCGGAGTACACACGCAAAGTCGTTCCTGGCTTCTTCCCTCATGGATATATGAGAAGTTGAAAGCGAGAAAATTTGAACAGCTCGACCTTTGGCGTGATCGGCTTTGTTCTCGACGATTAACCAGTTGGGTATTCGCAGTGTGCGAGAACTATCATTGGAGAGCAGTGAAGATTGATTTCGACGAGAGAATCATCTCCGCATATGATCCGCGAAACGACCGACTTGCTCTGGATACGCTTCGGATGCTCGGGGTATGTCTGTACTGCGAGTCCATGATTCACTACTGACTTTTGAGTAGATCGTCAAGGATTGGCTTTCTGCTTTCGATCGCGGCTCATGGACCCTCAGGCATGCGGAAGGACCGTATCACCCCCGAGATACCACAAATTGTGGTGTGTACGTCAGCTGGGTGTTACGGCAATGGACCAAAGAGAGCCGAATCGCTCCCGGACAGGATGTAGACGCCTTGAACTTCAGAGATGACGCTCTGACACTCCTGAGAAATGCTCCTCGCGCGCGAGGACTTCCAGCAGCAGGAGAAGAAGATTCTGCATCTACCTCTTCCTCTGTGGAAGCTACGTTGTTCCAATCCGCGAAATCTGCTGGGAACTGATTATGGTAAAGATTCATGAGGAGGATCGGTCGTTGAGATCCGTTGGCCAATTGCAAGAACAAATTCGTGGGGATCCACAAGAACATGCTTTAGTTCTGTCTATTTGACAATGTATCCGATGCTACTGCGCAGGGGACTTGCAATTACTTCCAACCATCAATCACTAATACTTACTTTAATGAATCGGGGTGCAGTCCTCGGCACGGGATCTATCTGTATAATAATTGGGCGCCAGGACGACCCTGAAAAGCCGCTCGCCACATCTAATCATGATACCTTCATGAGCCCTGCCTCCCAAGTCACCCACAGTCACTTGCATACAACAAAACAACCTCCAGTCAATCAATGACTTATTCCACTAAATAGAACCCTCCTCCTACGCATGATGCGACCACATCAACGAGTGCCTGCGGATTCTAGAGAAGTAGTTCTAAAATCATGCGATTTGGTCGACAGGTTGATGCGAAAGTCGTATTCAACGCATACTGGCGGTCTCGCACGGAGCAGTCATTGACTAAACTCGAGTCAATCCGCGAATGATGAGCCGCAGGGAGAACATTGCGCTTGGCGAATGCTGGAGTACGGCAAAGCGAGACGAGCCGACAAACACGATAACAGTGTTTGGAGCCTCATTGGAAATGGTCACTGTGAGACCAAGAGCGGGGAAAGAGAGAGAGGCGTATTCATACCCTGCTGTCATGGTCTGAAAGTGCCTCGAATGTTGCTCCGCTCATAGTTGAGTCAGGGTATTGGTGCTGCGGGTCTTCAGATTGTGACGCCAGATTAGAAGAACTAAAACCGGCTCGATTGCTGACCGAATGAGTACCAACAACGCGAAATGCCATGAATGAGTACCAGCAACGCGAAATACTATGACGTGGTGCACGAACAATCCATCGGCATTCCCGATTTGACTTCGTTTTGCATCGCTCTTGCCTCGTCGATAACGGGCAGTAGTGAGTGAGAGCCTCTGCTGAACGAGCGGGACCTTTGTCATATTATTACCACTCCCGTCCATAAATTTCACAATGAGTTCTTTCAGACTCGAACTTCGGAGATCGGAAACCCACGATTTGGATCACTATCACACGGACATACTATCGTCATCACAAGGAGCGCGCTGATTTATATTGTCGGGGACAAAGACGCCGCATCACATATCAGTCGGGTGCTGCAGGTAAGGATTTCGAGAACAGCCTAGTTCACGTGAAGGCCAACCCATTGAGCTAAGCCAAATAACGGCGACGCTCGGCTCTTTGTAGCTTAGTCACTTCTAGTGAGAAATTGCTAAACCCAATTCAGCTAACCATGCCTAACTCTTGCTTTGTTCTCTGGGATACTTTACTTTGCCCTTGGCAAAACTATTCCACCTTCAATACGAAACTCCGTCGATCCATGAGTGTTCTGCGTTTCTATAATAGGACTGTTGGATGAGTCTCATGCACCGCACATGCTCCAAGCAGACGCTGTCCACCACACTTCCACACTCGTGGCAAATGCTACAGTGTGAGCGGTCTCTATTTGAGAGATTTCTTGCAGCAGCAAGCCCTTTGTACCTTCACACTTTTCCGATATCGCGATTCCATGGTCCACCACCGCCAGTGCTGTGTAAAATGGAAACATTGCTGCGGGCGGCCTGCCACTCTGGTCATACGTTCGGAAAGTCAAGAAAGCGAATGCGGCGCCTTTGCAGCAACAGAAAATCGATGGGTACAGAGTGAATATTAGCTAAGATCAGGCGCACCAAATCGGAGTCATTTCGCGCGTCCTGAGAGACGCAAGTAGGACAAAGGGAGTGATCTTTGGTAGCGTTAATGCTGGTTGATATGTCAGCGTATTGCATAGAGTCAATACAGCGATCGAAGCTAAGCCGGCTTGGCGTCTAGGCCGCGGATCTTCACGATCGCAACTCGACTTCTGTTTTGATTGCAAACATCGCTCTATCAACCTGTACCTATCACCCGAAAGGGCATGACATTGGCGCGTCAGACGTCTGCTATACCGGAATCGAGGATCGAACTCCTAGCAATGGCGCAAGTTACCATGGAAACGCATGCTGATGTCAGGATGCCATCTCTTACCTCAAGCTATATCCACTAAGAGTTCTCTTGGTTCGCTGACATTCAAGCCAGAAATATCAGATATGAGTTTCAGCAGCAAGAGAAGCGGATGCACAACCAAATCAAAGAGCAAGGTGAACAAACACGCGCACAGTTCGAGGACGTTCACGCTCGATTTGATCTTGTGCAAACAAAACAAGATCATATGCAGGCAAAGCAAGATCTTCTGCAAGCAACACAGGTCATAATAAGCGCTAGGCAGAGTAATCAGGCAGCATACTGGCTCACGAGCAGGATTTATCCTGTAGAAATGTTTGACACAACTAAACAGGTTCCGCGCAAGCCTCCTGAGAATATTTTCCCTTGCTAGGTTGGTAATTTCTAGCACCTGTAACAACCACGCAACTGGAGTAGGCTAGCGAAACTGCATGAGTTTTACAAGACAGATAGGTAGGGAGGGTGGGGTGTCCGCTCTTTCAAAGATGTGAATAGTGAAGATGCAGAGGATGAGGCACAAGAGGAGGTGAAAGAGGAAGACGAAATTGAGCTTGCACTAGGCCACACGTCTTTGGCAGAAGCCATTGAGTACGCTCTAGACATAGCGTTAAGCGAGCTGGCGCGCCACCTGGGTCTCAATTACGACGAAATAGGTGTTCGCGTCACAAATGCTTTAGTGTCTGATATTTCCAAGCGGATAACAGCGCAGCGGTTGAAGCGGGCAAGTAGAGCTATGGTCGATGTGACGCAAGAAGGAGAGCGGTACAAAACGCTCGGAACGAGAAATTCGGACGCACAGATACCCTCATTGATCAAAAACCTGCCTCCTGAGGACGATGGCAATGACGGTAATCCGCCATCGCTATGGAATTCGACACTCCTCCCGGACGACTGCCGCTGCGAGACCTGATTGGCGATGTTCCCACGAAAAGCAGGGAGTCTTCGCAAACGATTAGTACGAGGTTTGGCTGGAAACCACCGTTGGCGAGTTCGAACTCTTGACTATTAATGGCTTTGGCTTTCGTGAAGAGCAGGATTGGCGTTTATCTTAGTGGCCTGCTTTCACCTGATACTACCACGTGGCCAAACCTAACCTATAGCATATCCACTGCACATACATCCATTCACTGTACTCTGGAGCCTCCCCGGATATACACGGATGGATTACGGCCTAGCAGACGCTACAAAGTCGGAGTATGCGGACGGGTGCAAACGAGCGTCACTGTACCATTGTGTGAGAGAAAGTGAAAAGATGTCCTGCAACGGTTTCAGATTTCGTAATTAGCAGTTTAGCGTCGAGATCCGCTACGTCCACATCCCCTGCAACGCCACCGTATGATTTGCAAGAGATTTGCATCGCAATGATGCAGATGCCATCTCAAAAAGGCGCGTCTGGGTGAAACGCGACTTTGCTTTATTCGTCGATCTGTAGCGGTGATAGGTTTACGAGAGATCACCGTATAACGTCCTGTTGCTGCACTTTGCAACAATGTTTCGTAGTCGAAGTATGGCAGTGCCGCGTCCTCGGTGCGTAAATTGTACGATCTTTGGGAACGAGCATAGGACTGCCCTCTCCTGTGCACTGGGTGATGCGCTCAAAGTATGCCACGTAGTTGTACGACCCCAATTCAGCAATGATGATGACTGCCACGCTGAGCATTAACGAATCGCCCGATGCGCAGGGGAAATTCGTTCCTCGCGTATCTTACGTCCCGCCTGCGTAGCCTGTACTAGACGATGTGTACCAGACACATCGTCTGGGCGTCTGCTGCCGTCTAGGCTTCTTCTTCATTGACAATGTAAACTCCACACCAGGAGCGCTGCGCCAATATATAACGCTATACGCTTCGCCAAGATCTCAAGCAGCACAAGGCGTTATGTATACATCGACTCATTCGAATCAGAGCCGTCTGACTCTGACATCGGTCTTAGAGGCCCTAACGCTCTCCATGCCGAGGATGGCGTCTTTAAACGAGTGACGCTTACCGCGAAGACGAAGCCACAATCGCACTGAACGATCAAGCCCTTCGCCAGTTTGATGCACTGCGACGGGAGACGGGCCATATTCCGCGAAGTCTTTATGACGGATTGCGAGACCCGAATAGACTTCTACACAAATATCGAGCGGAAATCAAGAGACGGTTCGAAGAACAGCGCACGGGTGCAAATAAAGATTTCGACGAGCAGCGACCCGACGCAAATAAACGAGTCGACGAGCAGCAGACGCAATCTTCGGAGCTAAGAGCACAAGAAGGGGTCGTGAAGGTCTACCAAAGAATAGGAAGGTACAGCAAGTGAATCGAGTAGCAAGTCATATCAACAGTCCGAGTCAGCCGGTCGGCCGTCATGAGGGCACACCAACGCCGATCATGCTATTCGATCGTTACAAGCACGTTAACAAAGTATGAGGCTTTGGGCATAGCGATCAGTTGGGCGCCTGACATCGTTATGCAGGAGCTCGCGAGGTATATTGGCTGCATTGTGACACAATCATGATCAATGTGGAGTAGTACGAAAAGCTGTACCGGATACGCATGGCTTATGCAAAGCGGGCAATGACAGACAAAGTAACACCGTCCAAGGGAGGAAGACAGGGGACCTCGGACCCACAAGTGGTGCGCACAATAGAAGCCGACAATTCAAGGATCTCAATGGCACCGATAGTCGTGAGTTGTTCCCTACATTGGCGGTTTTCGTCGCCGGCCGTCGTGAGTCACTACTGAAAGATAGATCTAGGATGTATGGATTAATGTAAAGGGACTTTTGTCCTTTTGTAACCTCCATCTGTGTTCACATGCCATGTGTCGGGTCGTACGGATGCCTCAAAAACGGCGACTGCCTC